GCCAGTAAAAACCAAACCTCGAAACCTCGGAAGGTGACCGCGAGATTTTTTTCTCTTGAATATCCCGACTCTTTAAGTCTTGAGGATATAAAAATACCAGAAAATGCATGTAAATAGCATGTCAATCTTTGGAGGGCGTCAATTAAGCGGGAAAAATAATGCCCTAAAAGTCGTTACGGCAAACGCTTTTGACCGGTACTGCATCAAAGCCAGCTACTCGGGTAAATCTTTACTCGAGAAACTGTACCCTTATTATAAACGCACAGACAAAAAAGCCACGATATTATGTACCACGATATTATGGTACATCTAGGCGCTCTCGTTTGGCACTTGGTCTACGGACCATGGGTGTGGTAGCGATGGCGCTCACCCCTCCCCCGTGTTCGTCCGGTAGAATCGAAACAATTAGATGGTCTGCTACTTATTCTTGCTAAAAATGTTCGAAACTGGCAGTCTCGTGAAAGGAGAAGTTCTGGTTTGTTACACTCTAATTTTAGTTTGTCCACGTATGGGGTAGTGAAGCCAGCAGAAGGTTCGAATCTCTACGACGAACAACAGGCAGAGGCCTCGTAGGAAGAAGCTAGCTAGTCCACCTCCTTCTTACACGCAGGTACCATTATTTTGAGTTCTTGAAGTGAGTAACCCATATTTAGATGTGTTCCAATAATACACGCTGTTGGTCCGCGTGCAGCGAAACTACTTTCGCTATTTTACCTGAGCAGTGATCAAGTACCCCGGCAATGCAGTCGCGCTATCCCAATAAAAAAAACTATGGTTTGCCCTGATCTCAAAACCAGACCACTGTTGCAGACGAAGGCAGAGAATTGAGGATTTGACTGGCGCGGACTGAAGGTTGTGGTTTTACCGCACATGGACTTGTGGAATGGACTTTTAGCATTCATCCTTCATAAAGTACCATTTGCGATGCATTACCAGCCTATGGTTTTGTGATAGTTTCATGTTCAGAAAGGGATGGCAACGCGTCATTCAAGAAAGGGAGACCTAAGGAACAATTGTGCACCGTGTCTTTACGTTGTGGCTGTAATCTGTAATTTGGGTTGGTACATAGTGGGCAAACGACTCGGCTGCTTCTTGCTGCTCGGGGCGATAAAGAACAAGTAGTGGAGCCCTAGAAATCCATCGTAATGAGTGGCTCGGTGTGTCTATTTACCGTTCCAGGGTATATTTGAAATTTACATGGATATGGCTACCGCTGCGCGAAGGAAGATAGTCTGACAAACGTTTCAAAAACGTTTAAATTAAAAAGATTCAAGGGGAGAGGGCGCGAGGGGAATCAAAAAGTAGGCTAAGTTCCGTTTCAGAACACGGAACAGAGCCTATCGCAATGCAAATGACAATTTACTTTCAGCTAGAGGATCCTGCAATGTCGACGTCAGTGGCTGGGCTGATGAGCTGTCGTCCACAGATGAGTTCTACTCCGAAATCTCGTCACGGATCCACACCACAGTTGTCGAGACGTCTGGGTGTGACCCCTCGAGGCACACCGTCGCGTCTATCGAGTGCCGAGTACTTGGAAGCTCCTCATCGAACAATTTCCTCAAGTTCACTCTCTAGTCATTCCAGCGATGATGCCCTTATGATATGAATTTTTGGATTTGCAATCATCAACGATCTCTTCATATAGAAAACTTACAGGTGGTAGTGTTCTCAGGTGTTTTTAGATCAATTTTGAAAATGGGGTATCTTCTCGCTCCGCTTAAGATATCAAGGAGGCTAAGTGACACTGCACACAACCGATGAATTGTTCTTCTAAGCTCAATCACTGCCAGCAGCATCTATTAATTATACCTATGCTTTCGTTTTTCTTTTATAGCATTTTTATATGAGTATTTTCGTGATTCGGCCTTGTTTTATTGTAAGATAACAGGGTATTTCTTATACCTTAATTATTATTTATTAATGTTGTTATTAAGTGTCCTCTCAGCTTGTCCCTTTGTACGGTACTTGCCTCACTTTGTTTAACTTGGATCACTTCATATGTCTGCCACAGCTTTATGTGATATCATAAGTACCGGTTAAGTTATTTATATGTATCTTGATAACTTCTTATTTATAGTTATTTTCAGAAAAGCAACTATGTGTACTGTAGCCATGACAAAAATTGATTCTCATATGATGTGATTTCAATCGGAAGCAATAAGAACGAGATTGCCACGTTGCCATTCAGACTGTTGTAGAATGCTTTATCAAGTTTAAGCATAAATCGATCTTTTTTCCTCATTCTTTTCCTTACTTCTTATTTTTGAGGCTTGAAAAAATACTCAACAAAGTATTTGGTGGGAATACGCGACTATTCACTCCGGTGTACGACATGTAACAGACTTTCAAGTACCACTGCGACTACGCACCACAGCCATTGAATGGCGCATCACAGAGCGAGATTTCGTTCTAAAATACGTCGTGTACAGTAAGCGAAAAAATTGTTCCGGAGAAACTTATGCTTTCATATCAAATCCAAAGGGAGGAAAGTGCAGCGAATTTGGCGGAGTGACATCTATTGCTTATAGATAGTTCTGGCAGGAGAAAGGTTTCCCTTCCAGGGTAATCTAGCACACGCTATAAAGCATTGATTTGTTGATTATGATGGCTTTCACCGCTTCTCAATTTACTGATTTTTGCGAAAACCAGGCGAATGGCCTAAAGAAGCCGTGGATGGAAAAAACGGAACAACGGGACGATTTCTCGAAAGAGTGAACGTTCAGGAGAATTTCATTACATCTTACCAGGAAAGGTCATTAGGCCAACCCGGCCAAATGAAATGAGGTGCACATTTCTGTACGCAGCATGAGACGCTGAACTCAAATCTGCTGAACTCTTCTCTGAAAGGAGTTACGGAGGGTTTTTGTTGCCGCCCTTGATTTTCAGTGTCCTGCAATCACATGTTAGCCGCATTATAAAAGTATCGAAAGGAGAACCGAGGCACCGATGAGGTGAGCTTCGGTAGCGCAGTTGGTAGCGGTCTTGCTTCTTAAAGGAAGCGATCACGCTGGCTTCCACGCTGGATTTGCTACCCTCGCGTTATCAATCGATAAGGTGTGAGGCAGTAATTGTTGGACGAGTGTAAGCCCATGGAAGATATGATACGATGAGATAAGAAGGTGCGGCTGCTTGATAAGAGGTGCACTCCAGAATGAAAACGGGACGATAACGATAACGGTATCATATCTAGCACGCTCTTATCGCACCCCTTTCCACATCGATAAGTCTTGGTTTTGCTGAACGGAAGTGGATTTCGGCGCCACTGCCACTGAAACTTCACGTGTTGTAACATTGGGCAGGACCCCTATCCACTCCAATACATAGCTTTCCTTATCGTTCCCATGAAAATTATCGTGACCACTTCCTTTAAGGAGTGGTTTGCAGGCTCGCCCTTACCGATATTTAGGTTTGGATTTTTTTCACGAAGTTATA